GAAAGAGAATCTGAATACACAATACTTAAGAAAAACAAAACTGTACCTTATTGGTTTGTTTCAAAACAATGGCCTAAACATCAAAAATAGTAGGTTACTCAAAAGCTTTTAGCTGAAGTTCTGAGGTTGAGATACAAATGCTGGAAAACTAAATCACAAGCATAATTTGCCAAATTCTTATTTTTAAAACTTATTGCTGATGTTAAAGTAGTATTGTTCCCATCTAATATTAATATACTGGAAAATGAAATCTTTGGTTAGCTATCGGTTTAGCAGTGGAATGAATAAAGTTAACATTTTGGAATAATCTCGTGACAAAAAGAAGTGTTCAGGTAACTTCCATAATGACACTACACTGTTAAATTACAACATCTCTGTATTGTTTGGTTTTTTTAAACCTACTCAAGATGTCTTCATATAAAACTACCTACCTATTCTTTATGAAATAAGGTGGCAAAAATCAAAACAGAAACAGTTGTTGTGAGCAGTATGTGATATGTTTTAACAGGAGACAGAACTTAATGAAATACCAGTTCTCAAATAATATGTCTTTTCAAACTTTCCGTTGTCTGTACTTGATTATTGCTGTCTTCCGCAAGTATTTTATTTTAAGGCAACTTTATTCTCAAAAAACCTCACACTTCATGTACTATCTATTAAAAGGACAGAAGGCATAATTTTATGCAAAATGGTTAAAAGTAAATACTGCCAAGGGGAATTTTCTTACCTGTACTAATTCGCTTAGCATATCTACATTTCTAAAGATTGTATACCAGAAGTCTGGAATTCCTTTGGGGTTTGCCTCTTCTGTTGCTGCTGCTTCTCTCTCTTCTATTACTACTTTATTTTTCAGGTCTCCCTAGGAAATACATGCAGAAATATTTAAGAAAAAAAAAAAAATCACAAACTCTTAATTTATCAAGTATCTGAATCCTGTTCAATTTGTAAAACTTGTTATTTGGAACTTTATTTAGCAATAATTGCAATGACTGCTTTGGATTAACACTTACAGATGAAGTCAAATGGAGATAACAGTTTGAATACTTGTCAATTTTGAAATACATGCACCGCTGCTAATTTAGTATTCAACCCTTTCAATTCACTTGGAAATCTTGCCTACCAGATTTCCAGGTTACTATATTCTGGGTTTTTTTTTTATATATATATTAAAAAAAAAAATTAAAACCCAAGGAATGCCATGGGCCTAGAACCAAACTTTTTTTTTTTTTTTTTTACTAACTATATTATGCCAATTGTGAAGTCTACCTTTCTTCCTCCCCAAAAGAATCATAAAAAAAAAGCAACAGAACTAGACCACTTGCTCTACTTATATGTAGGATTAACTAACAATCAGGCCCCCTTCGGTGGGGACTTCTGCACTAGCATCATTTTTATGCACATTAAAATATCAACTAAAAATATTTTCTAGCGCGGTTTTTATTTTAGTATTTTTAGCACATTAATCCTTTTGGTCCTTCCCTTGGTTATTTGAGTCTCCTGTGGGATTTTGTAAAGGTAACAGCAGTTCAAGGTCTGTCTGTAGTTACTAACTTATATTCAGGATAAAAAACAAGTAAACCTGTTTTTCCTAATGCTTATCCTGAAAATGCGGTGGGCCTGACATTATAACAACCAGCCCCCTAGTCCTCACACTTTCACTTGCCATGCTCCATCTAGAATTTAAAATTAATTCACTAGGCAGAAATGGTCTTTCCAAGACTTCTGTGAAGCATTCTGCAAAAAACTTTGCTGCTTTAAGAATTAATCAGAGATGAGGATATAATAATGAGACGTACCTATGGAATATGCAATACAGGCTCAGAGGGACAACTTCAGTCTCCAAATACAAGAAAACAAGGAATTCAGAGTGGGATTTTATTAATGTGTCCCCCAGTGAACACTAAAGAAAAACAGGCTTCTACTATGAATTAATATTTTGCTGCTTTTCTGCCTACCACTAGGTGGCAGCAAATACACTTATAAACTGCCTCCAGAAAACAGAGATGAGAATTATGAGTAAAGAGCAGGGAAGCAATACATTTAATGTTTTTGGCAATATTTAAAACAGTCTGCAAGAGTAATTGCTGTATTATTATGCAAATATAGGCAGATAAGAAGTCTCAGACAACAATACAAACTCAAATTGCTTGCAGGCTGCTGGAAGTTACTGAAAGTGGTCCTCAAGACAGGCTGGCAACTTCTGTTAACTGTTGCTACTCATCCGCTAGGTTAGAAACCTTGTCGGTGCACGTGGTAATACTGTGGGTTATCAAAAAACATCTAAGTAGTAAAAAACAAAGAGGGTACTATTTGTGTTGAACTGAGAAAAACTAAAAACCTGAAAACAAGGCAAAGGAGACAGCATGAAGAGCAAGGCAACCATTTAAAACACCTTGCTTACACCAGAAAGATGTCAAACTTTGAATGTACCCAGTAAGTGAAATATAAAGAAGCTATATATTTAGGCAAGCAGGTTTTTAGGTCTCTTATTAGGCTCTTTATAAAATGTAATGTTTTCTGTTGAACAGAGAGTACATAAAAATCCAACTGCCATAATCATTTCTACTAGAGTAAATCCTACTCTATAAGGAAACGTGCTAGGAAGTTATAAGATAGAGACTTACCAAATCTGTATTTATAACTATACAAGCCAATTGTATCCCCCAAAATAAAGAGGGTCAGACAGACAGATGAACAGTCCACCTTCTGTTACTTCAGGGATTTAATATAGCACTGGAATGGAACCCATTAGCAGGAGGATACTGCGAACAGGTTACGAACAGTGCAAGCAATGACAGGCCACGGTCATCAAACAGTATCGTTCACTATGTAATTCAGTATGTGTGCTTCTCAAGTTTTAAAAACCAAATACGTACCTTTAAAATCTGAGGATTTTTGTAGAAGTGAAAATGTAAAATATGAATCACTGAATAAAGTATGTATTCCTGATGTGGAAATCTGATTACCCCAATAGCTCTTTACATGTCTGATAGAAATGGTATTTTCAAGATACAAAACTTTGGCTACTTATTTTTGTTTATAAAAGATTTGATGAACCAGTATTTATTTCCAAGTCAACCATTATCTAATTTTTACTCACAGCTAGTTTTTCTTCTTCCTCATTTTCACTGTGCCATTCCGACTCTGCATCTGTAGGTTCAGCTTCACCAGTGATAAATTCCCTTCTCTGCAAAAGAAAGTGATATGTTTAATGGAAAAAGGTACTAAAGGCTCCTCCAGGCAAGTTATCCATGTTAATACAGAAGACTAGACAAAAATATTGAATGTGCTATCTTCAAATAAAAAATGACTTCTCATAACTTATCAAAAAGCAAGGAAAAGAGTGACCCATGAACAAGGATACACATCCCTGACTTTGAAAGTAACAGACTTGCATGTTGTAAGGGTGGTCACTACATCTATTAAACCAAGGGTATATGCCGAGTGTCCCTGGGGCTGATCAGTAGTCCAGACCAGGACTGGCCTCCTGTGGAGCAATCACAGCACCAGGTCCAGGCAACACACCAGGTCAGGTAGGGTGTGGCATGGAGCTGTACCACCTCTCCTGTGACATGCAGCACATGCAGCCAGTCCAGCCCTGCATACCACAAGCAGCACACAATGGTTCCAAGGCTCACTGTGCATATGGATCCCAGTGTCAGTATGGGCTGGATTTGATGCTGCACACAACACAGGGGTGCACACGCTGCATGTGGTACCCTGGACCAACACACTGTGCTGCCTGCAGCATGGGATCCAACCCTCACGCTGCATGCAGCTTGTCTACCCAGGGGCAGCGCAGAGGGTTGGTCCAGGTCACAGCTCCACAGTCATGATCAAGCCTGTGAGTTATGTTTGACAACCCTGCATTAAAGAGTAAGCTTCATAAAAAAAACAGAGCACAACTAAAGTTATTTACACATTTAAAAGTAAGAATAAAAGAAAATGAGGTCTACACTTTCAGATAACTGCAAACAAGAATTACAGCTAAAAAAAACAACACAAGTTATCCCTGATAGTTCTGATAATTTATGGTTTGCTTACTTTGAACATATGTAATACCATCTAACAGTTTTGCTGTTCCTGTCCCTGTATAACTCCTCTGCTAAGGAGGCCTTTCTACAACAGGAGAGCAGTTTGAGAGTCAAATCCCTTATGCAGAGCAGAGTAGGAATAAAAAGTTCACCTTTGCACCAGAGTAACTGCTCAGTCTAGGTTAGCAACAGTAGAACAGTATAAAGGCTAAGCTGTAACAAACCCAAGGGTTGAAAACCAGCCACAGATCCCCAGGGCTAATCCCTTCACAAGCAGGAAATAGAACCGATTCAAGATCACCATCCCAGTTCTCTACCACCAGAGTAACTCAGTGGTACAGTTCTCCCTGGATCAGATTCTAGCAATGCTGCAATGTAGCCAACAATACACCCAATTATTTGGACATATCTATAAGAATATTAGAAGCAGGACTGTTTTACTAGTCAGTTTCAAACAATACAAGATCATTGTTCGTAGCAGGCCACAAATTAACATATATGTTTAATTCAGTTAGCACTGTCGCTCCTTACAGAGCATGGTGCACACGCCAATGAGTTCGTTGATGGCTGCCGTGTCCGATGCATGAGTGTTTAATACAGTCAGTAAAAATAAATCAGCCTATAATCACCTCTCTCAATTATGTGGTATCAGAGTGATATTGTAGCCCCGACAGACAAGGAATTACAGCAAAAAGGAAAGATTTCTGTAGACAATTATCAGTGTGCAGGGCTGGCCAAGGGCAGTGCTGGCCCCCAGAGCCAAATCCTGGGGTGCACAGGTGAGGTGGGAGAACAGGGGGGCTCAGTGATCTAAATACAATTTGGTTATCACTCTTAAAGCCCAAATTTTGCCCAAAAAAATGCAATTTGATTAGCTAAAGAAAAGCCAATACATAAAAAAGAGGAATTCTTGTGTTAATAACAATGTTTGCCTCCTTCATGTAGTTTAGTTTATACCTTAGAATATCAGCACCTTCCTGAAAAGGAAAAGGATCTCTTTTGCTACTTTTTTTTAAACATAAAACAAGAATAAATCTAGTTTAACACTGTCATCCGTTAATGTTTTTAGAAACACTAAAATAAAGCAACTAGGAACTTGACCAGTTGCTGAACTTCACATGTAACGTAGTTCAAAAACTCTGCCCACTGTATCTTTTTACACCAGTAAGAAATTGTTTGGGAATCAGAAGGATTATCCATGTAGTGCCTTTTTCATGACGTTGTGAAACATGGCATTTTGGGGGGTTTTCTTTGCATTTTTCCTTTTTTAAATAGGATATTTTATTAGCCTGTGTATGTACCACACCCTACAGAAGACTTGACCAACTGACTATAGTGCTCAAATAATTGTATCCATTTCAATAAAGGTTATTAGATTAGCTAGTATACTATTACATTAATACTTCCAATAAACAGGCGACATGACCTCAAGTATTGTAGTTAATGCATTAAAAGAAGGGAAAAAGAAAAAAAAAAAAGAAAAAAGGGGGTGTTTCACACCACTCTCCAGCAACTGCTCTGTGACCAACTAAAGCAGCAATGTAACTCACTCAATTTTTAAAAACAAATACATACCTTTAAAATCTGAGGATTTTTGTAGAAGTGAAAATGTAAAATATGGATCAGTTTGAACCACTGAATAAAGTATGTATTCCTGATGTTAAAATCTGATTACCCTAATAAGCTCTATACATGTCTGATAGAAATGATATTTTCAAGATACAAAACTTTGGCTAGTTATTTTTGTTTGATGGTATAGTTGTTCCCGTCTGTAACCTTAGACCAGGGGTGGGCAATTATTTGGGCTGGACAGCCACTTACAGAGTTTTAGCAAGCTGTTGAGGGCAGGGAGAGAGGGCGGGGTGCTGACCTGGCCTCAGCCCCCTCCCCCCATCACAGCTGTTTACACTGTGGAACCCACACCCATGGCAAGGTATGGACAGGGAGTAGATTGCAGCTCTGCCCTGGGCCCCAGCCCCGAGCTGTCATTGCCCTGACCACCCACCCAGTTCCTGGACAGTTCCCCACCTGCCCGTAGCCTCATCCCATCCACTAGGGCTGTGTGGAATTTCAGCAGCCGTTTCAGCACCTGAAACACTGAATCCGAATCGAAACGGAAGATTCAGAAATATCTCCGAAACAAAATGAAGCATCCAAAACGTTTTGGAAATGTTTTGGAAAATTTCAGAGGACCTGGGGACCATATATAAACTCACTAGGGGGGGGGGGGACCAGAAGGGTTTGGAGGAGACCTGGTTTCCCCTAGCACCCACCGGGATAACAAGGAATAACGGCCACAAGTTGTTGGAGAGTAGGTTTAGATTAGACATCCATAAGAACTACTTCACAGTCAGGGCGGCTAGGATCTGGAACCAACTTCCAAGGGAAGTGGTGCTGGCTCCTACCCTGGGGGTCTTTAAGAAGCCGCTTGATGCCTACCTGGCTGGGGTCATTTGAGCCCAGTTTTCTTCCTGCCCAGGCAGGGTGTCGGACCTGAAGATCTAGAAGGTCCCTTCCGACCTTACTTCTATGATTCTATGAGAGTTTTGAAGCCGGATTTGCGGGGAAACAGCTGTACCCTGCTGTCCTGCCGTGTGACCCCGCTCCGCAGGGAGCAGAAATCCACAGCAGGGGCCTCCTTGCTGCCACTGCCCACCCCACGCTGCCCCAGTGACCCGGGGCTGCACGGGGTGGGCAGCGGTGGCGAGGAGAGCCCCAGTACAGATCTCTGCTCCCTGCAGAGCCAGGTAATGCAGCAGGAACCAGCACTGCCCTGCCGTGCGACCTGGCTCTGCAGGGAGCAAAGATCCCCGCCAGGGGTCTCCTTGTTGCCGCTGCCCACCCTGAGCAGCCCCACATCCCCAGGGCAGCGCAGGGTGGGCAGCAGCAGTGAGGAGACCCCCAGTGCGGATCTCTGCTCCCTGCGGAGCTGAGTCATGCGGCAGGGACCTGCAGGCTTGCTAGCCATTCTGTGCCACTTCCTTGCCCCACGACCCAGTGTGACAGGAATCAGAGATTCACGTGGGGTCTCCTCACCTGCACAGAGAGCATAGGCCCTTCCCCTCCCCCCGATGAGCCACCCACGGCCCCGTCCTGCTCCCCACTGGGGCTGGGCAGTAGTGCTGTGTGAAGCTTCCCTTGCAGCCCGTTCGAAACAGATTTGGAGGTTTGACAGAGCCTAATCTCTGAAACAGATTCAGCCAAAACGAAATGACAGAGATCCAAAATGAATCGCTGTCCTCTGAAACGGCTGAATCCAAAAGCAAATCGAAACAGTCGTTTCGCACAGTGCTACCATCCACCTGGCTGAGCACACTGTACCCACGGGGCTCCAGGGCCAGTCTCCAAAGAGACCACACCTGCCCACACCATCCAGCGCCCCTGGCAGCGGGTGCAGGGCAGATGGGCTGGGGTGCTGGGGCAGCAGGACCAGGCCTGGTGGCAGCAATACACACAGGAGCCAGAAGCATAAGGGCAGAGATGTATTTTGCCCACTCCCATCTTAGACTGTGAGAAAAAAAAGCCACAGAGAAACTAGAGTTTGGACGACCAGTCTAGATTCTCTAGATCAAGAATGGCTAACTTGCAGCACAGGCACCATGGCATGGGCAACTTCTATGTAGCACATGGCAGACTGGTGAGAGGACAGGCCACATGGTGGTAGATAGGGCAGGGAGCAGAAAGCAGAGCAGCACATCAGGCAGAGAAAAGGGAACAGATCAGTACTCAGACAGGGTGGGAGGCTAATTTGTGGCACATCTGCCAAAAAGGTTGGCCTCCACTGCTCTTCATAGCCACAGGCAAAATTAAAGGGAAAGGTACAAAATAAGTTAAAGATTAAAATCAAAACTACAGACAGAAATAGTTAGCAAAAGATTTAGTGTCTTCCTACCTTGTCAAAGAGAGGCTCATACAGGGCTGCATATTTTCTCTCTAAATCATGAACTTCTTCATAGAATTTAGCTTCTATATGGGCACATTGCACCTGGAGCTGTTTCAAGGCATCAATTCTTCTTTTCACTGCTTTTGGTAAACTAGAAACAAACAATTCTAAGTCTAAAAGGTTAGCTATTTCACCATCATAGGATATTCACTGTGAATTACCCTGGTGTTAATCACACAGAGGTTTGGTGTGCTAATAGAAGCCATGCACATTTCTTCAAAACCCATTTCAAAGTCTGAAAAGAATCTTTTCCTACCCATGTTTTCCTCAAAGATGTTATCTTCCATTCCACCATTCCCTCCCCTGTATTTCAAAAGAGCTGAAATTAATATCTTTGTTTATACCCAAGTTTATACAACAAGAGTTAACTCGCCTATGGGAAATAAAATGGTGCATTTAGTAGTGAAAAGAAATATAGATATAGACAAAAATTGCACACACACACTGCCATCATTATTTTCAACTGTTAGAAGTTTATATAAAATAGCTGGCATCCTTCCAACATGTAAAAAATAAGCAAAAGTCTTCAAACAGAGATGCCCAGTTGTGGACCCCAAACTAAGAAAAACCCCAGAACCCAAAACCAATACAAATCAAGCCTTCCAAAACTTGTTAGAACAAACTGAGTCAGTTTCAAAGCAAACCCTGAAGTAGGCTGAACAAGAAAAGAATATTAGAGGTGAATAAATTTCAAAACGAGTCGAAACCTTCACTCTATCCAGCTTGGTGGCCCTAGAAAGAGCATACATCCTGATGGGGAAGGAAGCAGAAGAATAGCTGCACTGTCAGATAAGTGATCTGAAACCCAATTAAGTCTGATAAGGTATCAAACCATGTGAAGTTAAAGAACCAAATACTAAATTAAACCAACTATATTCTTTTGGTTGGGACATCAGATCCAAAAACTACCTTTGCACTGCACATTACAGAGGCAATATTCCTTTCTCAGCCGTCTCTGTTCCCCTTTATCTCACCTAAAAAGTCAGCCTTCTAATTTTTTTGTCTTGTATTATTAACATGCCCAGTACTTACGTTTCAATATAGCTTGAAGGAGTGTGAGATGTGTTATCAAGTCGCTCTTGGAGAGCTGCCAGGACTTGTGGATTTTGCATCACTTGATCTGCTAGCTTTTCTAAAAAAGGACATGCAATAAAATCTGAATATATTTGGAGCAAAGTGATGCTCTATTACAGATTTTTATTTTTGGTACTGTCTGCACACGTCCACATGAGAGACTGACCACACAGTAGCCCAAGACCACTGCACTGTAGTGTCACGTGGCAGAAACTGATGAGACACTACTGCACAGTTCTCAGGCTACTGCGCAGTCAGCGTCACAAAACAGCCATTCTTCAGCACTACCATGCAGTAAGGCAGGTTATTGTGCAAGTCATTTAGTACTTGTTTATCCAAGCACTAAATGACTGCGCAGTAACGACTGCACAGTCAGTGTCTCGTACAGACATGGCTACTAAGCATTTCTGTTTAACTTTTGAATTGTAACTAGTCATTTTATTACTGAACTGTTAGCAGCAGCAGTACTGGCTCATTTTTCAAACACAGAAGCAAGACAAATGAGCAGATGAATGAATAAGGAAAAAAAGTGTACAAGGATACCAAGTGAATCTTCCACTTGGGATACCTGTTCAAACCTTGTCACTAAGGCTCACAGCCTGAGTATGGCATCAACGAATTCACCACTTCTCCCTGCAGTCCCAGCTGGCAACTAAAGCATCCCAACTGCCACATTAGCCCCAGCTCTTGAGCCATCCATAAACTGGGCAGGGAGGGAGGAGAAAAGATCACTAGCACGGCCAACAGCAAGATGATCTTAGTAGAAAACTACATGTAAAAAGCTTTTCCACCCTTGTCCTCATCATTGTATTTATATTATTTACAAAAAAAATTACATCTTATTTACCCAAATCCAACACAATGCCCCTTCTCCCCCCACCCCAAAATCAGCCTGGGAGGAGAGAGAGTGCCATATCTTGGATACAAGTACCACCCCGGGCAGGAAAGCAACTCAGCTTTGACCCTGGGCCGAAGCCAGAGCTGAGCTGCTGCCTGCTCCAAGCTGGAATGGCTCAGCTGAAAGGGAAGGGATATGCAGGTAAGGGGAATGAAGGGGAGACTGCAACCTGCCACCTCACCTTTTGCCTTCCCCCCAACCCCTCCCACAGCCAGCCCCGCCCCCTTATGCAGCTGGCTTCTCCCACCTTACTTTCTGCTCCGGCTCCAGTTCCTGTCCCTCCAGCCCTGACCTGGCCTAGCCAGGAACTGCCAACCACTTCTCTCTGGCTGGGCTAAGCACGGTCACTACGGATGCTGAGTCCCCCAGTCAGGAGCAGAGCTAAGGCAGCAGGTCATGGGAGGGGTCACAGTGTGAGGGGCAGGGACAGGCAGCAGGGGACAAGGGAAGGGTCTGCCCTGCCCCCCACCACTGCTGCTTTCCCTGCCATAGCAGTGAGGGAAGGAGCGGAAGCAATTTAAGACAAGCTTCCACTAATTCAAAAATTCTATATATGGAAAATTTTTCATATATAGAATTTTTGAATTGTATATAAAAAATTGGGGAGGGTCATCTTAAATTCAAAATAATCCTGGATTTGAGTAAATACAGTATGTCAAAAGGACATTAAGATCACAAAAGTCAAGCACCCAAGTTTGGCAATGTGAGAATTCAGGTCGTCTGTGTAACCAGAGCCCCTTGCATTGACATATGACACAGACTACTTTAATTTGAAATTTATATTCAGCCAGAGGCCCTTTGCAACTTCACCAAAAGATATTCTCTGGCAAAGGCACTTCATGCATGTTTAAAAACCCCAAGTATGAAAAAACAGATGCACATAAAAAAATTGACCATTTACTAGTGTTCTCTAATTATTTTCACAATTAAAACTGAATTAGCTGCTTTCCGCTCAACTCTAAAGCCTTTGCTGCTGACCACACTAAAAATGGAAAAGTGTTGAACCAGAAGTTATTTGCGAGAGTGCCATGAGCAAATAAAAGAACCTGACATAAGTTCATCTGGCAAATGTCCATCAGCCCAGGAAGTACACGTATGCGATTTCAGATGTGCTGAAACTTATTAATATTAAACTACAAAATATTTACAAGACACAGAATGCTTACCACCCTCAGCAGAATTCTGCAGTTACTTTTTACACTTTACCTTTTTTGTCACTTGTATTTTTAGCAGCTTCCACAGAATCTGAGGCAGCATCTTCTGTTTTACTAAAAAAGTAAGAGTCAGATTCATACACTAGAAAGAATCATGACTTTGATATAAAGCTGTCACTACAGCCAGACAAAAAAAAAAAAAATCATGAAAATATCTGACGTTATTTATGAAACGATGACATTATAAAGTAGGATATGAAATAAACAAACATCTAAGCAGGCAGATCCCACTAAAGCAGTGGTCCTTTTTAGACTCAAGGCACCCCTTATAAATTGCCAAATTAGTTTTAACACTCATTTTTGTCTACAGAAAAATAGAGCAATTTTTTTGTTGCAAAGAACTTAAAGACCACAACAGGGCATAATGTATTTAACTCTATGGATTCCTGTTGGACATCTCTAGGTTTATTTTATGAAACATGCTTGCACACCCAACAGTGCTAACATTGCATGGCACCTACGAAAGGATCTTGAAGAACCCCAGAGTGATGCAACACCATAGTTGAGAATCACTGCTCTAAAGGATTTTTTTTGGCCATCAATGTCTTTAGATGCCTAAAACCGGAGTGAAAAGAACTAGCTTGATTTCTACAAGGAGTAACCAAGGGAGCTGTATAGTCAGCACCTGATTTTGGAGACAGAAATTTTTACATGTACTGAACAAACACTGAGTTGTAGCCAGTCTCCCCTGGAGAGGCAGATGCAGGTACCTGGGGCACGTACATGCCCAAGACTCATTTTCTTTTCCTGCATCACAGAGACAAATACAGAGTCTGGGATTGAAGGGCAAAAAGAGATGGATACTATTATTCCAGTTTGTCAGCTGCCATTTCCACACCAATTTGTATCAATAACGAATGTATTCAGATGCAATCCCCAGTCCAAGCTGCTTTTTATATTTCCATTTCAAAAAATGGATTTTTTGGGGTTCCCAATTTTTCTTTTTTGGGCCATTTCTCTCTGACCTACTAACTCCTATTTTTATGGCATAGTTTTAATAATTTTGGTGGCTAAGGCATGTTTATTTTTAAGCATTTCTTTCTATTTTTATCTATTCAAATTTTCAGGATTAAGCTTAATTAAGGGGGTAGGGGGCAGGAAATTTAGTAAAATTTAGACAGAACTCCCCCTCCCCCACCCCACCCCCAATTATTAGTGCTGTTTAAAACCGCCAGCTGCAACAAATGTAACCAGAGACCAGAAGAGGACAGTAGCACTCTGGAGCTCTGGGAATATGGGGAGAGGCAGCAGTTACCCAGCCCAGGGTGGGAAACAGCTCCCTGTGGCCCCTTAGAGGGTGAGCCCTGTCTGGTGGGCACTGGTGGCAGGGCAGCCTGATCCACTGACAGCCATGGCCTCCAACCCCTCCCAGCAGCATGGGGGCAGTGGCTGGGTCCCAGAGGCACCCTCATGCATCCAGCCCTGATCCTGCAGGGGCCAAGCCGGGCTCACTGGGAGTTTGGCACCCACTCCCCAGCTGGGACCCGGACAGAGTGACCAACCAGCAATACCAGGCTCCCAGCTTCCAAAAGCCATGCCCCTCCAACGCCCAGCTTCAGGTACAGCCTTACACGCATGGTCCCAGCTCCTGCAGCATCCCCTTGAGCTGCTACCAGAGAAGCAGCGTGCAGGAGGCATAGCCATGGCTCCCCCCACCCTGCCTGGGTGAATCCCATCAAACCTATCCATGGGGTGAGTAGCTGGGTAATCCAAGGAAAGTGCTCCTTTCCCCAGCTACAGTGCTTTGACAGATGGTCTCTAAATCAGTACTTTAACTAGTCCCATCAGAAACACTACTCTGATGCAATTACCTCTCTTGCAGCATGGAAGCCATTTCCTTTCATCTTGCATGTTTATTAAGTTAGAGAAAGGGGGCATTCCAGGTTCTCACAGCAATAAATGAAATTCCACTACAAGTCTTGTGGACTACAAACCACCATGATTATAGATCTATTTTTGTGCTGGTTTCTTCAAAAACAAAACTTCAAGCAATAGAGATAGACCACATTCTCCACAACCATAAAGAACACAAGGGCTTTGGAAAACCAGTAGTACTTCACCCCCAGTTAAAGTCTGTGTCACAAGGTGCCCCCATCTTTCCAGTTAAAAAGATAAGTGATCTCTGAGACCATGATATGGCTTCCTTCTATAAGATCCATGGAAAATGGCAAATTTGGAAAAACAGGACATGACTGCTCTTATTTAAGGACCACAGGAGCTCAGGATTCAAACTGTTACAGAATTGGTGAAACAAAGTCTACCTGAACCAAGAAAATAGGAGGTCACAAGCAAATGAAGACCAGGAGCAGTTCAGCTGGAATTCACAGACCACTTTTGGCCTTGTAAAACAAGACTTTTTACACAACAATACAGAAAAACGGATTATCCAAAAATATCTCTAGGATAGTATATTATAACAGCAATAGCATCCCTGTGATGCCTGTCTGAAACTCTAGATATGTACCAATTCCTATATTAATTTTGGGATTATTTTGAAAGTTAACTTTAAATTATTCAAAATTGAAGTCAGGGTTTGTCCTTATATAAAAATAACCTAAAAAAAAAATCCCAACAACTCTTGCTCTGAGAGGTATGCTGGTTGTAAAAGTCCTTCAAATTCCCCAGCAAAGTAGGGTCTCACAAACACAAAGGGTGACCAAAATAAACAAAAGCTGTTGATGTGCACAATACAGACTGTTCTCTATTAAGGGTTCCTCTATTTTTCACACATTTTCTTATGAGAGGAAAATCTTGCAGACCACCTTCACACCTATCCATGCTGTGGCTTAACAGCACCCTTTGACAACTACAGCAACTGTTTACAGAGAAAATGATACAAGAGAGGTATTTTACCTGGCTTTAATGAAATTTAGCTAACTGATACAATAACAAGGCCATACCATTTGAATGGTCAGCAAATAATTCCCAGGCAACCCGTAGTTTATGCAGCAAAATTTGAAAATTGCTGAAATTACTCTATGAACTCACTCTGAGTTCAAATGAGAGAGAAGCAAGTACAACTACAACTTAAAAAAACAAACAAAAAAAAAACAAAACACACCTCTCTTTTCTTTGTCATCAACTAGATGCAATTTCTCATGGCAGTGTGTTCTGATGCTTATATTGCATCATGCCATACCACCACAAACATGGGCATTTACATGAAATATAAAAATTTTAAAATTAGAGCATCAGCTTTGCAATGCTTTGTTATTCCTTAATCATATTTATTAACAAGTTTATTGGTACCTAGATAAAGGAATCATTCTGGTTGCCAAACCCACACAGAACCAGATTTGCATTAATCATTAAAAAGAGTTTCTAAAGAAATGAGTGAAAGTCTAACCTTCAGTCAGTACTTTTCTCTAACTGGAAAGGAATGCCCTAATTTCAACCAGCGTGGCAGTTTTTTTTATTTAAAAACCCCAAAGCAAATAACCTCAATAGCAAGGTATTTTACCAACAAGCTGAAAAAGTGATAGCACTACTACTTAAACTACTCTGTTGACCATCTTTAAAATGGGCATTCCCATAACTAAAGATAAACTAAGATAGTTTTTCAGTATACTTAAATTCTATGAATCATTTGTTCTAACCTGGGTAACCCAAAATGTCAGACATTATGCTATTTTTTTTTTGCTTATCCAGGTTTAGCAAGGTTATCTTTACCCAAGAAAGTACCACATCTGGAAACTTCCAGCAAGTGGCAATATTAATTTAAAGCAGATACAGAATAAAAGCAGTCCAACTTACCTGTTATCTGCCATCTGTGTACTTGTATCCGCCTGCAAGTTAACATTAAAAAAAAGTTTAGAAAACTAAAATACTGTTAAATTCTCTTGGACAAAAGTTTCCAAGTAACTGATTAAAATTGACGGATGCCTGCAGTAATAGCTGAAGTATACCAACTATGTCTTAGCAGATTCTAATAGCCATAAGCAGGAACTCTCATACTACACATATTTCAGTGGAAGTTACTTATACCAAGTATCATCTGAATTTTAGTTTGTAGGTAGAGGTGCTCCAACACATCGGCCTGATATTGGTTCACCGTCAATATAAAGAAAATGAACTGCATCAGAAATCAGCTTGATGTAGCCAATAATGTCTCTGATAAATGCCTCATGCATGTATGCAGCCAGAGTAGAATGTAGACAGTGAGGAGCATAGCCCAGCAGCTTGGAGAGCTGCATGCAGCTGGTAAGTCTGGTGTGGTGGAGGGAAAGGGACTGGGGGTGCAGATCAAGGTTCCTGTGGTGAGGGAGAGAGTGGGATTGGGGTTGGGGCAGGTGCTGCCCAGTTCGGGCAGGGCAAAGCAGAGCGGGACACAGGATGGAGCCACAGCTTGTCCGGAGGGCACGGGGGGAGGAGGGGTGGCTCCCACTGCTGCCATGGTGTTCCTAAGTGGCTGTTTCAGTTATTGGGAGAAATGCTGCTGGTAAAAGGCTGTTGCTTTTATCAGGTCCAGCTGCACATGGGTTTCAACAGTATTTTAGCTTGAAATCTGTTCTTAAGGCATCATAAAACATGAGCTATATACACTAAAAATAACCAAGTTTAGGTATGTTAACAATATGATCTTGTACTGATAAGTAACCTGCCACAAAAAGATGCACCCTTCCTTCTCTAAAAGTAACAGGCAAGGAGAAAAATTACAAATAAGACAAAAGAAAGACCTGTCAACTTGTTTATTCCAAGAACAGCATCCTAGCAAGTATCAACTTATTTGCATATTAATGTGCTTCAGTTGGCAAATCATGAAAGGCATTTCATTTAGTTGTAATAACTGCAGACACAACATTTTCTCAGTAATCCATAGAGGAAAAACCCACAGTTGTGCCCATGTTCATGAACAGATATAATTCTTAGTGTTACAACAGCAATTTCAAGCTGCTTTTGCCATATGTTTGAAGAACAGATCACCAGGCTAAAGAGCATAAACACAGGTAACACTAAGAAAAAGGGAAACCCGATCCGTCAAAGCAAGGGGATTTGGCTCCTGAATGGATGGCAAATACACTGAAATAAAAGGAAGCTTTATTTAGAAAATATTGGGGGGTGAGAAGGGGAAAAGAAACAAACAAACCAAACACACAAAAACAAATCTTACACTAGTAAAATTAAAGCCCTGGTATGAACAACAGCTAGACCCAAGCTTACTGCAGGTTTTCCACATACGATCTAAACTAGCTCTTTTGGGAATCCAGAAAGAGATGAGGGGTGCCTATTTTCTTTAAGTTGTGAATATATATAAGTTTGTCAATACACACACACACATTTAACCCACAAACATGTTTTGTATTGTCGCAAAACCACAAAGGCAGCAAGCTGAATACATAAATACAGCAATGTCAACACCTAGGCACAACAGGTAACATCAACCAATGACTCAAATTTCAGCTTAAGAGACTTTTTGCTCAAAGTCTGATACAAGGGAGCTCTCCAGAGCAGGTATTTGATTACTTTAAAAAAATAAGTTTATGACCTCTATGCAAAGTGAACTAGTATTTACCCCAATTTTCAGTAAACAGCTGCTAGAGAAGATTATAATCACCACTGGCATCCTGACTGGCAGGCACAGTAAGGACCAAGGGCTGCATGGACATCTCAGTTCTTAGAAGTCAGTAATCAGTGCCTTTAATCTAGATTTTTCTGTAAGCAACTACTATGGAAGGGGTGAAGTTTCACCCATTTAACATGGCAAGGGTGGAAAGTATTTTTGGATCACACCACAGGAACTACACAGACATGGCAGGCAGTCCACCCATTATACTGAAGAAATGGGTAACTGCCTCCAGTAAGTTAATCAATTGTAGAAAGCTGCAAAGTTCAAAATGGACAGGAAGATGCATTTTGTATGATAGGTCCTTTTGAATTATTGCAATATTCAGTAGAAATAAGTCCCTTCCCCTACATATAAACTATATATTCCTGCTTCATGCAGGAATACTGAAGAGAATGGAAAACACGATTACATATTCATGATTAATTTAAAAGAATGAGAAATACTTCAGTGTTCAGGAAAAGAAGGTACAGAACAATTTTTCTTCAGTCATGAGCCAGGGTGGATAAAAATCAATGATTAAAAAATAAAACAAAACATGTTTTTTTAATTTAAATCAGATTTCATTTAATCAGATTTTTTATTAAGATGCTTTAAAAAATAAAGCTAGTTATATAAAGATAGTTTTAGATTTAAGATATGTTAAAGCTCAAAGATCTCATCATGGAAGAGTATGTAACTAGAAATAAATAACCCCTATGACACAATATGTTCATGTAACCTTTTTAGAAGTTTTATAAATAGGTGACAACAGTCCACAGACTATATCAGGGGCCCAATCTTAGGGGGGCCCCAGAGGCTCCTTTATAGATTAGTAAAGATTAAAGAAAACAACTCTACTCAACGGGAACTCAGTGCTCAGTCTAGAAGATCCCATTCAGCATCTCTGTGATGCCTGGTTTCAGTTCTCAAACTGTGGATTTCTGTCTCCAGAGATCATAGGCAGACAAGGGTCTCTGGGTAGATGGGATATCTTTTATTAGATCAACTAAATAGTTGGAAAATTGTTCTTTGCAAGCTTTTGGGCACAAACACCCTTTTTCAGGTATAAGGAGAGTCTTGTCTCCAGAGATAACAACAGCATACGGAAATGAGAGAACAGACCTGATTTACCCACCCATCAGTCCTATAGTCAGTCTTGCAGTCTTTCTGCAAGTTTGTGTATACACAGTCAAGCACTTACCTATCTCTAAAAGTACAAAGTTTCAAGAAGTTAAATGGATAAAGGATATCAAACAACAAGGATGTACTATTTGTAGAAAACAATGATTAAATCGAGGCTTCCTGCCCAGAGATTTAAATTATGATTTAAATAGTGATTTTACACCACTCATTTAAATCAAATCCAGCCTGCCATGAACCATACGATAAAGCCAAATCTGCCTGAACCTAGATCAGAGGTAAACAACCAACATACGAGCATGGCATGTGAAGGCACTATGCTACGCACACATGCCTCAGGGCAGATGGCGCAGAAGCAGCCAGAGCTGCGCTGCCACAAGGATCAGGCCCCTCAACTCCCCACCATCCACCCCTGGCATGCCAACATCTTACAAGGCAAGGCTGCAGGTGTTCTTGGCACTCTACCCTAAAACAATGCAGACCCCTGGCCTACACGGTCCATGGAACCAAACAACTGCATCTTATCCCCACAGAAACCAAAAAAGCACACACAAGGAGTAACATGGCAAATGTCACATCTGACAAGGCAACCATGTGCAGCTAGGCCAGTGGAAGCTGCAACTCACACTTCTACATCCATACCAAAGTAATCTTCCCCAGATCTGACACCATGCCCCCTGGTAATTAACAGAGGGGAGGGGGGAAGAATAGGCTACCCTACCCTGATCTACCACTGAGAATCACTTGACAAGGTCCAGGGTAGGGTAGTCTATGTCCATCCCAACTATGCAGTTGATCCCATAAAAGATACCACCCCACTAGAATCACAATCCAGGTGTTTCAGCATGTATACTACTATGAAGGCAAGTTTTATACTATACTTCCTCCATGTTCCATACTTCTGATGGGTCTGCCGCAGCTCAGCACTTCATTCTCTCATCAGCAGAAAATTAAAATAAATACAATTCTCATCAGTCTTACTGCTGACTGCAGAGCGTGAAGAAGTGAGATACTGAAGGACTTCTTGAACAACAGTCAAAGGCAGGCAATTCTCCTACATATTAGCAATGAAAAATTGATACAGACACACACCTCTGGTGAACTGTTATATAAAGAACTTGGACCTATTCAAAATTGCATGCGTCAGAAAAATCTAGAAATCTGCAGCAATGAAGAGAGTATGAACCAGAATGCCTCCAACAACAGAAAACCCAAGAGCTTAGGAATCAAAAATACTAAACCCATTCTGGAAAGAACAAGCCTGCATTGTCCTCACTGACATCAAGGAATTGCCTGTGAATGACACAGGTGTTGAAAGGGCCACCCTTGAAAGCTAGAAAAGCTAAGCATGACAGACCAAGGCATTTCCAACATGTTAAATGCAAGTCAGAATCTCTAAGTATATTTCTTTTAGAAAGTGCAGGTGTATGAGTGCCTATGTTTATTGCTTTAGTTACTTCCCTAGAGAGCTTAACTTTCATGTAAAAAAAGGTCTGATATTCTGCAAGTAGAAAACTGGTAGCAGTAGATCCTTGAGTCAAAATGGGTTAGCTGTCACTACCAACTAAAGGTGAAACTAGGGTCTCGAGTTACACCCACCCCCAAGCCACCGTATTCAAATTAGCTGGGGGGGGGGGGGGGGGGGATGAGGGGGAAATCACTTGCCTCAAAAAGTCTGCCTGAGACAACCCATATAGAGTCTATTGCCTATAATAGCAACTCCACAGACTCAGACACCAAGGGCATTTTTACCCATGCTCTGGGAGGTATGGGAGGGTGCTTTAATTAGTGAGCCATGCTAATTAAAAGCACCCAAGTGTCACATGTATCAAAATACCCCGTGCTGAAAAACAGTGGTGCAGTGCTTTGAAAAAAAGTTCATCAAATGAGCTTTCGTTCAAAGCGCCCCCCCATCACATGCATCGGTGTCCCCTGTGCTGAAAAATGATGCTAGAATCTGCTGGATCACATTAATTTCCAGCAGACTTGACTGATCGAGTCTGCTCTGAATCTAGCTCTCTGCGTGCGTATAGCACCAGCAGAGGGGACCAGCAGAGGGGGCTCACTTGCCCAAAGTTTCAGCACCAGCAGAGGGGACTCACCCACCCCTCCCTATTGCAGAGTACTTTGAAAATGGTTCTGTAAGCTCGATGCCAGA